TCTTTAGTCGTTTACAAGAAAACCACAGGTGTCATGAGCAACTCTCTAGAGGATGCTCATCACCAAATATTAATGATATAATACGATAATTTTTTATATTTGTATAGTACTTAAAAACTTTTCAATGTACTTCTACATCTATAATTTCCCCTTCTTATACAATTAAGCTTTAATTGTAATTGCTACTCAGATAAAGGCATACATCAGTCTACAGTTGTAGTTAGCCTATATATAAACGAATTATAATGTGATCTTAGGCTTCTAGGCAGATACTACATCAACAAATAACATTGTGCACATCTGTTCTCAGAGAAATTCTACTCATTGGGAAGTTATTAAATGGGGATCATATATGTCCAGGTTTTCAAGATAAATGGACTAACAATATTTCTATAAAGTACCTTTTTTTCCTTTGAGAACACAGTGATTCTTTTGGAACTGTAGTTTAAAATCTATCTGCTGTGTCAATCATATTAATAACCTGATAACAAATACTGTATATAGCATTTCATGGGTGAAAAATATTAGTTGCCTGAATGGCTCAAATCTACGACCCTAAGGGATAGGGCTAATGATTATCAATAATAAAGGGCAGTCAACATATCCCAAAGGAAAAACTATATTGGAATAAGGACACACTTCTCCCACACAGTACAAGTTGTGATCAAACATAGTAAAACCGGGAATATTTCCAGGTCAAACAAAAGTTTACTGAAATACAAAATCCAAAGTTCAAGGAAAGAAGGGAGAAATGGAGTTCATAGTCAAAGCTCCAAGGTTAGAGTTTATATATAGTCTTGAGGGTGAGTGACTGCAAAGGGGAATAATTCCTGCCTCTGTAACTTAACTATTGTGTGCCCTTGGGCAAATCACTTAACCTCTCTAGGCTTCAGTTCCTGATTTATAAAAGGAGGGATTAAATTAGATGACTTTGCATCTCTTCTAGTTCTAAATCCCCATCCTGTAATTTGCATTTGTGAGAGGAATTATTTCATACATTCATTGTGCCATGCTGCCTCTCAACCATGCTATAACAGTATTTTTTCTGTTTTGCTTGCTCTCTTCCATAAACATTTATTAAACACCTACTGTGTACAGAATACTATGCAAGGCATTGGGGGAGATACAAAGTTTATATAAGATATGATCTCTTCCTTCATGGAGTTTATGATTGTAGTTGCTATGTATTAGGGGCCATGTTTCAATTACCACATGTAAATCTCTAATAATTAACCACTTTATAAGCCTGTGTATCTTCTTTACTATCGGCTCATAAACAATTGCTATTTGCAAAGATGATCTAAGTTAATATGGCAGGGAAGGATGAACAGGAGAATTTCTTTTAGGAGCAGGCAGGCTCAGCAATGGTGGGAGATCTAGTGAAGGAGAAGAAGTAAGCTATCTTGGTCAGATACTATCAGAATGCCTAAGTTTTATGATGTCATAGACCAGAAACTGGGTTTCTACCACCCAGTTCTGTATACTAGGTAGATCCCAGGAACATATGAAAATATCCCAAAGACTGACCACAGCACCACATTCTAGCAACCCTTGAAAAGGTGAATTCATGAATTACTGTACAATCAGACAAAAAAAAAAAACACAACAAAACCCTGAAAAGCAGAACCTGACATTCATTACAGGATACATTGTCTTCCACACATGAAATTTCCTTTATTTGGATCACGTTGTATGCCTCTGAGATCTGAGTTGGTGGATATCACTACCCCTGCCATTTGGTGCAGTATGTTAGCTATCAAGGACAAAGTGTACTGGTCTGAGATGGGGAGAGTGTTGAGGGCTCTTTAGCTGCTGTGGAGCTCTCCGTCTTCACTCTTTTTAATAGGAACTAGGGCTCTAAAGGAGAAATGGAAAGCTGGATGAACTCTTTCTGCCAAATGTTTATCAGAAATTCCTGCAGTCACCAGACCTGGTTAATAAGTAGATCTGGCCAGTCAGAATAATGATAGCTACCATTTACATAATACTTTAATGTTTGCATAGGTTACTTCATTTGATCCTCACAACAAGTCTGCGGGGTAAGTGCTATTATCATGACCATTTTGAGATGAGGAATATGAAACAGAGAGATTAGGTAGCTTGCCCAGGGTCAGACAGCATTTCCTCACCTATAAAAAAAAGGAAGGAGTTGGACCACATGATTTCCAAGGGCCCCTCTAGCTCTAAATCTCTATTCTTTCTGGTCATCATCTTAAAATTATGGGCTCTAAGGCCACTTGGACCTTTAAGTTCTAGTATCCTGTTACCCAGATGCTATGCCAACTCAAATCAGTAACTCAAACTAGTATTCATTAGAGTTGGCAGCTGTAATGTTATAGCCTTTTAAACATGGAATCTGTCAGGGTGAACATAGAAGAAAGGAAGCAGTAAGCGTAAAGGATGATGATTTGCCCCACATGACTTCTTTGCTCTATCTTTTACGATAGAGGAGTGCTAACCATAACCTCCACACTGCTTCAATGTGTGGGTACTGCAATGGGCTAACACTACATGTACCCAATCCCCTCATCTACACTGGTCATCTACTCTGGGGTCAAAGAGCTGCTAGACTTGCTCTCACGTAAAATTATGTCATGTTCTCATTTACCATAACCTAAATTCTCATTGCTCACAGATATGGGATAATAAATAAATTAGAATGGGTCTGAAAGAAACAAAGTAGGAGATTAGGAAGAATTTTAATAAAGAAGTGAAAAATACATATGACCGTAAAGTAATGAAACTAATTTCCACAAGAGGTCTACATATTACTTTAATAGTCACAACTTGTACAATGAACAGCTTTTCTTTGGGACACTGAATCTCACTGACTAATCTCCTGGCAAGGATGCATCAATCAATTGATTTAGTGACTATGCAGGAAAGAATGGTTAAAATTCTACGGGCTAATATTTTTAATATATATAAGCACAATTTGATTTAAATTTCTATGAATAGTGCTGGAAAGACTCTCCAGTGTTTTCATTCTATTATTTTTATTCCTTTTTCTAACTCTGCAATAATTCCATACCTTCTATCACTTCGAGGGAAAAAAACCAAACTCCATTCATCACTATTTTGGGAAGAAAGATAGGATATAGAAAGTAAAAGAACCCAGGATGTACACAGACCATTTTTATGTTTATAATTCACTTGGTGTGTTTTAGTACAGCTGACTACAAAGTAAATTTCTACAAAGAGAATGCTATTTTCTATCAACTTTCATTATAAAAATGTTGATGCAGTCACAAAGAAAAAAAATCTCCCAAAAGACTAACTAGAAAACTTGCTGAGAAAAGCAACTATAGGATGCCACAGATTAAGTTCGAAGGTCAGCTCAGCTCCACTTTCAGAGAAGAGCCACCGACTTCAATCCTGCTACTGGAAAACACCTAAAATTTTGAGGCTTATTTACTCTATTACCTTTTGTCTATTTTGCACTCTTCCTTCTCTTGAGGGTAGCCAAGTTACCCCCAATTAAAAAGCATCATGGGCACTGGACTCAGAGTCAGGAAGATCTGGGTTCAAATCCTGGCTCAAACACTAGAGTTATTGATCCTGGGCAAATCACTTAATGCTTCTGTGCCCTAGTTTCCTCACATGAAAAAGGTCAGACTCAAAACCCTTCTAAAGTTCCTTTAGCTCTAAAATCTATGAACTTAATTCTTGACCTCCCCCTTCCCTAATCACTATTATTCTAAACTTCTACTGCCCTAGATGAAAATCTCTTTCCTCTGATATCCCTTCCCTTAATCTTATCCCAATCCATTTGAACTTTATATTTGCCCACCCAGTACCCCTCTCTTACCACTCTTTCCCACTGTTTCCTCTGGAATTTTGCCTTGGTCTACTCCTCTGACATTCCTTCTTTCTCCTGTTGCCTTTTGAAGCCTAGCTTTACCCTGAAGATACCATATCCCTTACCACTCTTTCCAGTGCTAGCCACTACTTTTCTCATCCTCCTTGATTCAAATAAGCAGGAGAAGTAGTTTCTACCTTCCTTGTTTCCCACAGTTCCCACTTCTAGGTCTGCTATCATCACTCAATAATTTCTCAGGACCTTTTCCAGATTCTTGTAGCTCCCATCTAAACCTTCCAGGCATTTTACCTTGTTCAAGGAGTTTACCTCCTGCCCTAACAATCAACTTCTCCTCCTGGGCCATTGCCATCATCCTTAGTGACTTCAATTCTCATGATTATGACCTAATTCCCTTGTTTCTTGAATCCTTAAACTCAACTCCTATGCTCCACACTTGCCTTTGACTTGTGCTATCCACAGGGATGATCATACCCTAGATAGTACTATCACTAAAAATTACAGAACTTGAAATTTGCTTCTCTGACCACAACTTCTCCCTCACCCTCATATATATTCACTTTATGACCTTTAATTTTTCAACTCCTCACAATCCTCCCCACCTCTTATCTATGTTCACTTTCTACACTTCAGTCTTGAGTCTATGCTTGGCTATCTGGCCTCTTCCAGAAGACCTCCACTGACGATGGGAAGGGGGGGGGGAAGGAGAAGCAAGGATCCATTATCTCCCCATTCCTCTTCTGTTAAGAAATTTTTTTTCTACATAAAACCTAAATCTGATTCTGAGCAAGTCCCACCTCCTTCCCTATAGAATTTCATGACTTTAAATTTTAAGCCAGCAAAGCTAGATTTGGAGAATATCTGAAGCATTTCTGTATATTAACATGTACAAATGAAACGGCTTTTCTAAAACTTAGTTGAGAGCCTCTACTAGGTTGTTCAAACAGGTTCTGCTGATGTTTTCATCGGCCAATAGAATCACAGGGCTAAAAGGGACTGGAAGTACTGCCCAATGGAGAAGCGAAGGTCAGTCTCAGACAGCCTTTCACAGAATCATAGGCTGAACTGGAAGGAATCCATTCTATTTTGACACTATTTGAATGAGAATACCTTCCCCAATATGAACAAGGACCCTCCCCCAGCACTCTCTTCCATTCTGTGACACGGGCCTCTTGGCTATTCCATGAACAAGACCATCTCTCAGATCCGGGCATTCTTTCTGTCTGCTCCCTCTACCTTCAATGTTCTCTCTTCCTTGTTGCTGCTACAGATCTTCCTGGCTTCCTTTAAGTCCTAAATAAAGATCCCACCTTCTACAAGAAACCTTCCCCAAACTCTCTTAAGTCCAGCGCTTTCTCTCTGTTAATAATCTCCTATTTATCCCGTATATACCTTGCTCTATATACATGTTTGCATGTCATCTCCCCGATTGGATTATAAGCTTCTTGAAGGCAGGAACTACCTTTTACTTCTTTTTGTATCCCTAGCCTTAGCACGGTGCCTTGCATGTAGTAGGCGCTTACTAAACATTTACTGAATTGAGTTTAAAGTACGCACCTGCCTCTTCCAAAAGACCTGCATTGGTATGTGAGAAGGGGGGATAGGAAGAAGTAGGGGACCCACTCTTTCCTCATTCCACTTTTAATTGAGGGAGACTTGACTCTGGGCAACGCCCACTCATCGCTCCCTCCTAGTCCGGTCCTCTGGACACGACAGCCCCTCAAGCACTCGAAGGCTGCCGTCTATCAAGCTGCCTTTCACTCCCCTCCTCGGATCCCTTGCGTCTCGGAAGAGCTCAGCGCGGGCCGCCACCATCGCAGCCTCCCTGGGCGCGGCCTGGCCCGAAGAAGGCCCACAATTCTGAGACGCGCCCCCCTCCCGCGTCGTCGCTTCCGGATCTCTAAGGAGTCGTTGGTTTCTACAAGGGTTCTTCTCGAGAATGTTCTTTCGAACCCCAAGTCTTCCCACGTACTCCTGCCTCTCTCCAACCCCCGCCGCGCTCCTAGTTCGAGGGCAGCCGAGGAGCGAGAGCAGTACGCACTCTTTTGCCGGCCCAAACCCCCTTTTCTCAGAGAACCGGGGCGTGCGCGCGCGCCCTCTCTCTGGAGCTTGCTCCCGCCTCTTCTCGCCACCCCACTCCTCGCGAGGAGCCGCAGGGCGAGCACGCGCCTCCTCCCGCCCCGCCTTTTTGGAGGAGGCCGAGGCGGGGCGCGCTCTTCCGGTCTCGGTTCCATCGCTCCGCCCCCTCGCGTGCTTAGAGGGGCCGGGCGCACGCGTCTCGTCACGCCCTCGTCCCTCCGGCCCCGGCCCAGCTCAACCCCCAATTCGGTGTCTGAGGGTCTCGTGGGTGTCCTCGGGGCCTTCCAGCGCTGAGGGGCCCGAAGGGAAAAAGGAGGGAAAAGGGCGGGATTGCTGGGACGGGCATGAAGGAAGAATCAGCCCAGGGGTTAGACTGGGACAGTGACGAGAAGGTGGTGGAGGGGTCGGTGACCGAGAGCGAGCGGGAGGATGAGAAGCTGACCCTGAAAAGGTGACGGCTCAGGCGGCGCCCCCTGGTCCCCGTCATCCCGCGGGGCGCAGGCTCGCTCGGGGGCAGGCGCGAACGGCCCTCCCCGGGTCTCGGCCACGTTCGAGGCTCTGCCCTGGAGCGCGAGGCGCTCCTCCGCCCCCAGCTTCAACGCCCCGGGCCCGGCGGTGTAGCGGGGCGGGGGGAGGGGCTGCAGGCGGAGGAGACGGGTTCAAATGCTGACTGAGGACCGGGAACTAGTCGTCTAACCTCTCTGGAGCCCTGGCTCCTTTTCTGTAAAACGGGGGGAGGGGGGAGGTAGGGGTGTGCCCTATGTGGACTCAGCGGCCTCCGAGCTCCCTTCTTAAGCCATGGTTTATCGAGGAGGGGCGCTTTCTGATGCTAAATTTTGGCCATTGTACCGTACTACGAGACCTCCACAGTTTTCTGTCAAAGGATGCTTTTGCTTCGGGCACTTAAGTGTGTCATGGGGAATGGGGTTAAGATTTGGCTTGTGCAGAGTGCAGATCTAGAGCATCATCTCATAGCATTTATATATTTAAGTTTTGCAAAGGGCTTTATAAATATTTTATTCCCACCCCCAAAAAAGAACCAAACCAATAGCAAAAAACAAACAAAAACCAAATCCAAAACCACAAATCTAGGAAGTAGGTACTGTTATTATCCCTGTTTTACAGATGCCAATTGAAGTTGGCAGAGAATGAATTGCCCAGGGTCACACAGCAAATTTCTGAGGCCAGATAAACCCAAGCTAGGAATGGCTGGTAAAAGGTGGATACCATCAAAGCCAAACCTAAGAAAACGGCAAATTATAGAACTAGTAGTAGAGAAATAGACATTGTCATGAACTAAGATTTAAAAAAATAAAAAAGCAACATCCTTTCTTTTTTACTTAAGAATAGAAAATTCTAAGAAATTTATCAAAAGCTCCAGAGCATTATGGGTTGCCAATGTGCCAGTGATGAACTTCTCATAATGCAAATGATCTGGTATTGTATTTGATGCCTTTCTAACTTGGTAAAACCTACCAGATTTTGTGCTTCTCTGGTATGGCCTTTGAGAGGCAAAAGTAACCTCCACACTTCAGTGAAGCAGAAATAAAGCAGGGAGCAGAATCTAGGTCACTTTATGCTATGAAACCTTGCTGTTTATGATGTACCAGATCTCAAAACTATGACTTCAAACTAAAGCGACTCCAGTCCATGAGGATTGTCAATTATTTTAGGCATTACATGTTCTTCTGCTAAAGAAGCATTCAGTATGACTGGCAGCTTGGTTCCATGTCTAAGGTTTGTACAATGTTCTGCCAGTAACTAGCTCATCTTCTGTGATTTCTACAAAATTATTGGTGGTCAAAAAATAAGAATAACCCATTATAGCAACTGGCTATAGGGCAATGGCAGGTACCCTAGTGATGCTCAATAATTATGAATTCTTAAAGTCAATTTGTAAGGTTAAAAAAAGACAAAATTATGTTATCATATGACATCTGACTGTTCTTTGCCAGCCCTGTTCCTTGAGCTCTAAAAGTGTAACCGATTGAGAGGCACTGAAGGGTGCCTTTATTTAATCTTTATGTAGAATAAACACCCTCACTGTAACAGAGCTCATTAGGACAGGGGTTTGTATATATATTTTGCCTAATCGTGTGTCTCCTGAAACAAAGGGACATAAAAGAAACATCTGATACAGTAGATCATTCTGTATTGTAGGGTTAATCCTGTACCTCAGACCTTTATATAAGGAGATTCTGCTGTATCCACATCCATACTCTTTGTAAAAATCATCCACAAACATTATTATACATATAAAAGAAGTGAGAAGTAGGGAGGATAATTTGCAACACTTAAGATGACCTGGAATTAATAATCAAAATAAACTAAATTAAGCAGCCTTGGGGGCAGGGAGGAAGAAGTCAAACTGAAGGATTTTGTACTGATTAAAGTAAAATGCTGCTACATACTGTTTTTGGAATTATCACTAAAAAAAGATGTTTTAGTTATACATTTTCATTAACTCCAGTCTTAGCATAGTGTGAGAAGTATGGTACTGTTGTGATTTTGATGAGATTTAAAACTGAAGTACTTTAAAAAAATTCATTGTATTTTTTCACAGATAAATGGAAGTAATCACATTCAAATGATGGGTCCTGTTTTGCAAGGTTCTCTCCATCCCCACCCCTCAAAAAAGGATCCTCTCCTATGATGTAACACACAGCTACTAAGTACCACTTCTCTAACCACTGCATCACCTCACCTTGTTGCTTCAGTATGGTCTTCACCTAAGTTAAAGAAATAAAAGGAGTGTTTTTAAGTGGGCAAAGAATAAAGGACAATTTTAAAAGTGTGATGCTGAGAAAATCAGGATAATTTTGCATGTGGTTTTCTCATAAACTTTTAAACTTTATAAAAATCATGAAAATTTATATTTTAGAAAAAGTGGCTCACAAACTCTGGGTTTTTATAAGAAAAATAAAGAGAATAGAGTAGAAAACAAGATGAGAGTTAACTCTTATGAATTGAATTTGACAAAATATGCACCTAGAGTTTTAATCTTAAAATTTCCCAAAAAGATGCATGTGGTATTGAAAAGTTTGAAGGAAAAACAAAAAACAGGAGCACTGGCCTTGTTGGTACTTGTGCATGCTTTGAAGGAATGCTCTCCTCTTTTCCCCAAAGGTAGACATATTTTGTCACATCCTTCTAAATACCAGAGTAGAATTGCAAGAGATTAAAAAAAAAAGATTATCTCTACTCTTCTATCTTCCATCTCATAGTAAACTTCTAATAATGGAGGTATATGGAAATCCTTACACCAACTTAACTATGGATTTTGATGTTCGTGGATAAAATGAAAAATATCAGTTGGAATAGTAGACTTTGATTACTATAATGCATTCTTATTAATCTAAGAAAAGTAGAATAATTTGTGCCTTTTGTGTTGATTGAAAGGTTATTTTTTGCTCAAGATACATCTTTTAAATCTGATCCCAGTTTTCACTCTGGTCTCAGAGGAATATATGGAGGTAAGAAAGGATTCATTTAGTAGGTACAACCTTTTATTCTTATGGGTACTTTTAAAAAAGTTTATTAATCTGCTGTAACTTTAAATAGTGTGTTTTCTTACAGATTTTTGTAGCTGACTCTGAGTTCTGTTGCTTCTCATAAGGGCAGATAAGGTCAACAGGCACTCTAGATCAACCCACATTTTCCTATTTTTACAGGGGAAAACACTTTTAATGTACAGCTTCTTTTTCCTAGGCTGAAGGTGCATAGGAATGCCCTGGATGGGGAAAAAGTCTCTACCTCTTTACTACTTCCTATACTCACTGAGCGCTAAACTTATTTTAAAAATTTCTACAATTCAACTTGTTGACTAATGAAATGGGGGGAGGAGGGAAACTTCAAAAAGATGCACTTTTTTAGTAGCTAGTTATATTATTGGCAGCTCTCAGGTTAAGATTTCTTCCTCTGACTTTTGACATCGTGATCTTTAAACAGTGTGGAAGCAACTTTCCTTAAATTCTTGTGTCTTTGACTCTCTGTTTCTACTCTTTTATCTCTGTCCCTTGTCTAATCCCTGTCTGATCCTTGGTGGACAGGATTATTCAAATATGATGGAATAGCCATTGAATAGGTTTCAGCAGATCAGGGTGGCAGTCCTGCCTGAATCTCCCAATTATGAGTTCTGTGATCTTGTCAGATTCTTATTCAACAAACATTTATTTGTTATATGTGCAAGGCACTACTCAGTGGTAAGGATCAGACAAACACTTATGAAACAATCCCTTTCCTCAAGGAGACTACATTCAGCTGGGGGATGCATCATAGGCACATATAAATAAATATAAAATGCATTCAAATCATACAAAATAATTTCAAGAACGAAAGAGCTGTAATATCTAGGAGAATAATGAAGGTGGTGACAAGTTCGTTGTTGAAAGAAGATGAAGCTAAGGGGTAGAGTGAAGAGGAACTGCATTCCAAGACATAGGTATATATACCTGTGCAAAGGCATGACAGTGGGAGATAGAATTTTCTGAATATTTTTGAGTAGGGAAATGAAATAGTTAGATCTGTGTTTTAGGAATAAAGAGGATTTAAGAGGAAAGAGATTAGAAGCAGGCAGATCAATTAGGAGGCTATGGCAGGAGTCCAGGGAAGTGTTGATAAGGATCTGAAATGAGGTGAAGACCATGTGGTTAGAGAGGAGATGAATAGAAAACTTGGTGAATGCTAGAATATAAAGGATAGGTGGGGAGGAAGCAGTAATACTGAAGTAATATACTAACGTTGTGGCATGGTAGCTAGAAGGATGATTATGTCCTCAATAGAAATAGGAGGTTTTCAAGGACGGGTGAATTTTGGGGAAAGTTTCTATTTTGAACACCTTGAGTTTGAGGTGGATGTGTTCAGGAAGACAAAAACCTTAATTTCATCATTTCCACAGTGGAGGTGATTATACCTGTTCTGTTTGCCTCACAGGGTTGTGAGGAATAAGATGATACATGTAAAAATAATTTTGTAAATTATTTTTGTAAATTTTTTGGTAAATTTTGTAAAATGTGAAGTATAAAATATAGGTTATTAGTTTTATAGTTAAAGACTAGGGTGAAGAACTTCCATAAATCACAGTGGGCAAACTCCTAGGGTTCCAGACCACTAAACAGATACAATTTTAGCAGGCCACCTCTATTCTCTTTTGCAGTCTGGCAAGATGAAAAAAATACAGTGTACTCCACAGTCTTGATTGTTTGTTCTGGGAAATTCAACCCTCATATAACAAGATTTTTGAAAAGAGACTTCATTATTTAACAAGTTTGTTATAAATTGCTTTTTAGTTTTTTTTTTTAAATTTTGGAGCTTGTATTACTATTTACCTTAGTAAAATATAATTTTGATAATTATAAGGTTATGGGCATAGTCTTTTTGTGAATGTGTTAACATATTTCTGTTCTGTGGCCATTCTTAGTCCCAGCCACTTAAAAATGCATGGAGTTGGTTAAAAAAAAAAAGGAATTCTAAGTGGGGGAATGAAGTAATATTAACGTGGCATAATCCACATCCACAATTGGAAGAACAATTTAAAGTACTCATCCTGCTGGTAGTGAATCAGTAGCATTTTTTCATCCTCTCTTTAAAATTAATTATTGAAGAAATCGTTTTGAAATATCCCTTACCATAAGGACAACATGGGGTTAAATTATAGTACTGAGCCACTTTGTTCCACTCTTAGCTCTTGGGGCAGGATTGCCATTCTCCCAGGAAAGGTGCTGGGATCAGCCACTGTTGCTGGGAATCGCTGATACCATCCTTCCTTTGCTTCCTCCCTTTTTGGAAGATCTCTAAATAGTTGCCCTGAGTAATTCGGATAATCTGTCTCAATTGCCCTAGAGAAAGATGGGAGATGGAATGACAAATAAGAGAGTTGGAGTGACTTTCTGTACCCCCAAAAGATTTGATTGGATGGGTTAATGCAAGTGGAAAGCATGCTGCCCAAGAACTGGAAGAAGGAGGTGGTAAGGCCGGTTTGAGTGGAATTAGAAAGAGGAGAGCTGAATGATGGGGAACAGCAAAGCCTGGGAATAAAGGGCAAAAAATACCTAAGATGCTTACTTGAAGCTGAGAGCAACAAAAGTGGCAAGAAGTACCCATGACTGAATTGGGGGTGCTTTGTATTTGAAGGCTCTTTGTATGTGTTTGAGGAGTTTTAAGATGAGATAATCAGTTTCTCCTATCCAATTCAGTTCCTAGATCTGAGGGCAAAGGTTTATCCAAATGAGTGATTATGTAACAATTTAGGAGGCATTAGGGAAGGGAAAAGGAGAAAACCCATACACAAGACTTCAGTTTCCAATGAGATTTATTCAAGGAATGTTCTGTACAGCTGAATGGGTCAGAAGGATTGGAGATGGATGAGAGGTAGTATAGCTCTCTAAGTCTGGGTCCAGATTGGGGTAGTTGTGTAGGAGCTCCCAATATGACTTCTTAGGTTTGTCCTTTTGCACAGGAAAAATCCCATGAGGGTGGTAGTGGTAATATATCTCTATGTTAGGAACAATCCCACCTTTCTGGGGGTTCTAAGACAGTGATAGATATTTTTAATATTGTAATTGATTGAAGGGGTTGAGAGTCACAGTATTAGAATGTCCGTCTTCCCAGTCTATTTGAAGTAGACTAAGGAGGGTGATGTGAAGGACCTTATCTATTGTTCCAGGTGCTATGGGACTGTTTGGGTCCAGATTTACCTATGAAGGTATAATTAGGTAGATGGGGAGAACCTCCTTAGCTGTTTTTAGGGATGAAAATAAAAGGAAGAAACAATTATGTTGCTTTAATAGGTAATTGATGTGGGCATGAGTGTTCTCAGGGAGTTCTACCTCTAAACTGCCTTACCACAATTAGGAGGATAGCCTTAAGGTTATTCTCTCAAGTGAGTATTTTAGTCCCTTTAATGAAGTTTGTTTATAGTTTCTTTTTTTTTTTTCCTCTTGAGATTCGACAAATGAGTGCTAACTTAGGTTCTACAGGGAGGAGAAAACAAACTTCCAATATACAAAAATCATAACGTGGAGTAAAAGCCACCATATATGAATATAATTATGAATAAATTAGTATATCCTTTTATATATTTTGTAATAAGCAATATTAATTCATTTGCATTGCTCAGAGAAAAATGACAGTTACAAAATTTTAAGAAGCAAATGTATCCTAACATACATTATAAGATGGGTTATAGAAACTACCAAATAAACACTATAAAAATGGTTCATGATGTAAGGGAAGAGGAATGTAATCCCCTCCCTTCTCCCACCTCAGTGGATGTAATCCCAGAAAATTGTCCTACACCATGAGGTTTTAATGTGTTAATATTATGAGGCATGACCAATTCTGAATTTTGAAAAGAACATTTTGATTGGCTGAGAAAACAAATTAGCTGCATCTTTGTGGGTTTTAAATCATTAAGCCCTGAGGAACTCAGTGTATTCCAGGCTTAGAGCAGTTGTGGAATGAAATTTCTATAGTTGGGGAAGAGAGAATTTCTTTCTTGTCCTCTTCTTTCCCCCAAGACATCATGGCATCAAGCAACAGAGCAAGAGATACTCCTAGCAGTTAAAAGGATGGGAAAGATTGCAGGTGGAAAGGAATCACTGCGTCCAGTGATGAGTAGATGAAATACCACTGAGGTGACCCAGCATAAAAAGTATAGTAATTAGAAAAGCCTTCTCCCTATAAACCTGAGGCAGGAAGGGTATGTGACATAGAAACACAGATCCTGGACAGACGTGAATTCAGTCATCCAAGGGAAGAAGCAGCTTCAAAG